TCGCCGAGCTTGGCGATAATGGAAAGGAGCTGTAGAATGAACCCCGCGTTAGCTAAAACTCAATTTAATTCGACACGTTGAGTGCCGATAGTCTTGATTAGGACGGAACTCGCGGTTCATTTGACTCATCGTTGAGAAACGTCGAAATACAAAGTGGCTGCGGACGGACAGGATGTATGGACGTGAGTCACGCTCAGGTTATGCCGCATCAAACCGTCGTGATTCGCTGACAATAACAGATCTCGGCCATCAATTCCAATCCTTAACGCGTCCTGCCGCAAACGCGGACGTACAAAACTATCCGTCATGCCCCTTGCGCGCCAGGAGTCTTAGTCAGGAAAATAAAGAAAAAGTGGGCTGACTTTAGTGCGCGGGCCTTTGAAGTTTATTGCCCATTAATCACCGCAATAACCTCCGATGATGTGCGCATTATTCTGACAGATGACAGCACGGTTATTGTGCGGCTGTCACGGTGTGTATAAATGTGCGGGTATGTTATTGGGTTTGGGGACTTCACTTATTTAAATGAGTCATTCAGGACAAGTGTAGGAGCGAAACGTTCCTTATATGGGCGACATTTCCCATCGTCGTTCATTTGCTGTACCATCAGCGTATGCTCGAATGGACATCTCTCATTCAAATGGTTTTTATGAGCCAGCTGAGTTTTTTCAATTTTTTTTCTATCCCCCCCCACACACACCCACACACACACACACACACACATCTATTTACTCAACAGATGATGACTTTTCTCTTTTTTTTTTTTTTTAAAGCCAAACTATGTATTAGAAATGGACCTTCTCTGTCGTCTCCAGGAGTGGTCAAATTGTTTATTTGAGAATCCACCGTGGAAAAATCTCTTAAAAAATATACTTCTGCCCGGTGGTCCAGTGGTTAGCGCGTTGACCTCACAGTTCAGAGGTCGTGGGTTCGATCCTGGTTCCGGCCTTCCTGTGTGGAGTTTGCATGCTCTCCCCGGGCCTGCATGGGTTTTCTCCGGGTACTCCGGTTTCCCCCCCACATTCCAAAAATGTGCATTGCAGGCTGATTGAACACTCGAAATTGTCCATTGGTGTCAGTGTGAGAGCAGATGGTTGTCTCTGTGTGCCCTGCGATTGGCTGGCAACCGGTTCAGGGTGTCCTCCTCCTACTGCCCGAAGACAGCTGGGATAGGCTCCAGCACCACCCCGCTACCCTGGTGAGGATAAAGCGGATCGGAAAATGGAAAAGAGTTCTTATGACTTGGAAGTAGTACATGATGATTGTGACGTGACAAAATGAGGTGTGTTAGGGTGGTTTTGTTTGTGACCAACAGGTGGCACTGTAGGGCCCCTCCTGCTGTTTGTCATTGTTTCTATCTGCTTCGTGTTTGTATTTTTTTTCAAAACATTTTGTCAAGTTCACCCTGCTCCTCCTTGCTTCTTGGGGTTCTCTCCCTACCACCTCGCAACATGACAAGGTGTCTTCTAATTCATGTTCCTACGCTCACCTACGCTGATGAGCTGTGGGTCGTGACTAAAAGAACAAGATCCCAGATACGACCGGTCGAAAAGAGTTTCTTCTTGAGAGTGGGTCTTCCTTCCAAATGGGATAAGAACCGTGGTCATGTGGAAGGGACTCAGATTCGAGCCCCTGGTCCTCCGCATTGAGAGGAGTCAGATGAGCTGGCTCGGGCATCTGGTTAGGTGTTTCCTGGCACGTCCCACCAGAAGGAGTCCCAGGGGACATGTTGGAGGGGGGGTGGGGGGGACTTCAGTTGGCCTGGTTATACCTTGGCATTCCCTGAGAGAGTGGGACCAAGTGCCTGGAGAAAGGGAAACCTGATTATTACTTACTTCCAAGATATTTCCCAAAGATTACACGATCAGTGTCGGCAAGAAAGCTATCTATTATGAACACTTGGACAAAATATATCCAAGGTTGTTGAGATAAAAGGTCAAACTGATCGCTTCATCTTCTTTTCAGCATTTCTCCCAATTATTCAAGCTTTACTGCTCTGTCAGCAAGAAAACGTTCTCGCTTGGACTGCTATTTGACAAACGGTGGGCGGAAGAGAGGAGTGGTAATATGAAGTCAATGTTCTGATCAAAAGGTGTTTGATTCTTTTCAGCAGTTCCAAGAGTCATTTCAAATTCTTCAAGCTTGCAACCCGTCCGGCATCGACCTGAAGCGTTTTAGACTGTTTACATTTTCAGAGATGATATTACATTGGTTTGGAAGCAGTGGTTTTTCTATAGATTGTGTTCAGACACTTTTATCGTGACATATTAATCCCGAAGGGCATATTTTTGTTCAATTCCAAGAATTCAATCATTTCGGGTTGTGTTTAGAAAGGGAATATTTCTGTTAAATTCCAAATATTTAATAATTTAGAGTTGTGTTTAAAAAGACGCTTTCTCCAATGATTGAATCATGACATCGAGATTTGTATTGAATGAGTGACACCCAATTTAAATCCTACTTTGGGTGAGGAAAAATTTGATGATTAAAAAAAAAATAATAATAAAAAAAACGAAACATAGGAAAATAAGTGAAACGTCAGGCATCATTTAACTTGGTGTAAAAGGGTCTAATTCATTCCAGTTAATTTGTAGTTCCTCGAGGAAAAAAAAAAAAGTTATTTTTGCTGCAGTAATTTAATGATGTCCCAATCAAATGTGTGCTGTATACACTTCCTGCAAGTCTTTACCGCGCTAGCCGATTAAAACGTACGCTAACCAGCAGTTCCAAAGAGCAACATCAGTAGACTTTTGAACCACAATTCAAAGAGCGCCAGCTTCAATACTTCTTTTCCTTCCTTGACTTCTCCGCCATTTCCTCCAGTGTGGCTAGAACAGAGCGAGGCGCTCGCTTTTTCCTCTTCTGAAGCCCGCTGGGTGACTGAACTGGACAATCGCAAACAAATTACTGTCGGCGTCTCACATCCGCCCACTTGGCGATTGACCATCACGCACATAAAACGCAAAAAAATTGCGACTCCTGTTGTTCTTATCGGGAAACGGCAATCGGAGGCACCAAACGACCTATTTTGAATCGCACAAAAACTAATCGCTGACGGTCAGCCGCTCATGAAAACTAGCCGCAGAACCCCGCGCAACTCGCGACCATTCAGTCACATTCAGACACGTGTCTCGGTCTTGCTTTCAGGCGCTCAGTTACTTCATTAACATTTTCTATACTTGAGGACCCGTCTAATTAGCTTTCAAGGAGCACTGTATCGATTCAATTAAAGATTGAATAGAGTGGAGAAGGCTGAGAAGCGCGAGCTCAATCAACACTTTTTAATGAATGGACAAGATTGGTTACTTTGTGAGCGGCTTTACTTCGTGTACAGGTTCAAATCTTATTGAGAAGTGATGATTCTTACAGGTTAAGGTGTACGGAAGAAACAGAATGACCAGCTACAAAATTCACATGATATATTTTTTTTTTTTTAATGCCACCACATTGATAGAGTGTCACACAGGCTACTCTTTATGTCCAAATTGTCACCATCCATCCAAAGTTAAGCATAGCCGCGGGTCACGATCGTTTTTTTTTTTTCCCTGGCAGCTACTTTTTCTTCGCCTCTACTCAATATGGCCACACACAGTAAATTTCTCAGCGGTGTGATGTGGTTAAAGCAGGTCACAGTGAGAATTTATCAGTCGTGACATTTTCTCACGTTTGCTTCCTGCTGCCTCATAACTTAACTTCTGCAAAGGAGCCGAGTAAAAGGTATAATGTCAAGAAACGCCCCCCCC